ACATGATCTTTCTTTGCAAAGTTATAGAATATACAACAAAAGCCCTAAATGTTCATTGTCAGCTCAAAGCTACACAAATAAGAAGAAATTAATTTAGGGCTCTTCGTGTAAAAATTGGAGGGTAGATGCAGTTTTAAATTCTCTACAAATGGCCGAAAAAAAATTGGGGGGAGGGGGAGGTAAGCCACCCTAAGTCTAAGAAATGTTGGAAACTTAATTTCCTAACAGTTTTTCTGCTGGAGTCGAGTCTCTAGGCGCCGACCTTTAGGTTAAAACCGTTTTTTTGTGTTTTTTATTCCGAAGATCACGTTGTACAAAGCTGAGCCTAACAAACCAAATTTAGCAAATTAAATTTGCTATACTTCGTGTTCGAAACTCAGCTTTGAGAAATACTTCCTTCGTGTTGAAAAATTGAAAATTTGCTTAAAAAAGGTAGTTTTTCACTATGAAGATGTTTCCCAAACTTAAGCGTAGAACATGATATGTAGCAAACTGGATTTCCTTAATTTTATCTGCTAGGCTAAACTTTGTACAACTCCATCTTCAAGGCGCAGCTACTGTTTCTCATCATTTACAACAAGGCGATTTCTTACTAGTTGCATCTATTTGGAAATCGCCTTACACTAGATTTTAATGATAGGATGGAACGGAAGTGACTTAAAACGGTGTTCACGTAGATGGATCGATCGATGTATCCCACGATGTATCGCCAGACACATTGTACGATGTATCGGCTGCTTTCACCCGTGTCTCATCTGGAGCCGATACACAATTAGATTCATCTCTCGATGTATTGCCCTATGAATCGGGTTAAAATTGCTACTAGAACTACGTTAGGACTTGTCTACACATTGGTCATAGCCGCAGTTCTCTATATTTTATCTACCGAAACCTATTTAAAAACGAGTCGATCACATTTTATTTGAAAACGAACACTTTCTTTCTGGATTGCTATGACACTCAGAGTGGTCGATAATAACGTTGGATTTAGTTCTGGGGTTATCAGACGTAATAGTAACAAACTAGGGTGTCTCAGGGAAATGCCCGCTATCCGAGAACCGTGAAAACTAGAAACATCGGCCTTAAACAGAATTGTATAAGACCCTTTGAGTTATCCAGCTATCTTACAATTAAAAATGTATCGTAGCTGTAGGACTTGGTAACCTCACCTATTTCACTCGTCATGTACACCACCTAAAAAACCGAGGTTTTTAACACCAGATACATGAGAAGATAGAGTAAAGCTTTCTCTACAAAATGGTGAAAATACACGGCTTTCGTATAGATTTTTACAGGGCTTTCGTAGCCTAATGTGTATAGTGTAACAGTTAATGTTTCAGATATGTCATGAGCAGGGCTTTCGTAAAAAATTGTTACATGCCTTATGTATCGGAATGTCTGTGGCAATACAGAGCTTTCGTAAGAAAAAACTTTGTCTAGTAATGCATGGCAACAGGACGTTCGTAACGATGCTTAATGATGATTTGCTTGCTGGGAAAAAGATATTATCGCAGCGTTGTGATTAGACACCAGACAGCGTTTTTCTGCTTAAGAACGCTCACCTTGATCTGTTAAAGGAATAGATATCGCGTATTAAGAACGTCCGAAGTGCTCCCATTCATTTTCATATATGCCGTTTCTGCAATGTGGTATCTAATCTGCAGACTGTCAGAGAAAGAGGTCATAATCATCGATGAAGCTAACGAGAGTCTGTGCAGCTAAAAATAAATGGAATATTTCAGATCTTTTCTATCTGTGTTACAAAGTGGTAAAACTTTGTATATGTATATATCCTATCTCCTTAACGAACGAACCTAGACTGTTAAAGAGAGACAAAGAGAATGAAAACAACTCATTCAACTAAGTTCGACAGTCAGACTACTAGAGAGAGTAGAGATATTGCTATCTTTGAGTGCGTGCCTTGTGCACTCCTATCGTTACGAAATTCCTGTTCTCTTGTTAGTGAGTATCCGTCAATACATAATTCTACCGTTCCTTTTCTCTGTGAAAGAGTTAGCACTCTTCGTTGCAAAAGCCCTGCACTGAGACTTTAAAGTATAGCCGAAAGATCTGTAAAAACTGATGTGAAAACCGAGTACGCAATTTTAGCTGACTACGAAAGCCGCGTATTTTTTGGATATGACAATGAAACGTACATAAGGAGGTGTAAGCAGAATGTTTTCTTTAATTTCAGATTAGTATTTTAATCTGTATTATCTATTCACTATACATCTCCACTAGAGATGTGTTTATACATGTGTGAAACTTTATTATTCAAACTTGCCGTTCAGCTTGAAATTGAAGATAATAATGTAATATGCATTAGCGGGAAGTAGTAGTTTAAATGATTATAGTTTTGTTTTCAACGGACTATAAACTAACTTACTTCTTCGAATTTAACTTCGAATTATTTCAAAATGAAACATCTCTCTTTATTAGGTTGTGATTTTTTTAAAATCGTTGTATCAGTAATTCTGGTTCTATCATTTGGTAGTTTTATCGTTGTGAAACATAAAGTGCGTATATTGCCGTTCAAATCAGTATCATCGAATTCGATTTCAAAAGAGTATGAATATATGGAGTTAACTGTAAAATTAAATTTGTGGAATTCAACACCAACTAAACTGTTAAATCTGAGTTTAAAAATAGAACAGCGCCGAAATACTTTGTTGAATGAAACACAAACATTTTTAAAGTGTTCTAAATTCAATAAAACAGACATATTCGCGGAGAAAACCTTTGTAAATATCATCACAGAGAATGATCCAAGTTTAATTGAAGAAACTGATCTTAGCATAACCCTGGCAACTTTTTTCAATTCAAATATCGAATTGTACAAATTCTATGTATTAATAAACCCAGGTCTAAAAGCATACAAAATCAAAGCAAATACGAATATAACACTGATTCGATTACCGCATTTAGATGTATTACCGACATATACTGGACACAAACATGATTCGGTTCACGCATATCCATTGCCACAAATGCCTCCTAGTCAACAGTATAGATTAAAGGAAATTAGTTTATCATTTGATCAACCAAACAAAACTTTTCGTTCTAATAAAACATATTATGCAAATTTTGTACCATTTTCTGGATTTTACACAATAATTTCAAATGCTTCTATATGGAAACAAATTGGACTGATAATATCATGTGGTACAGGATTCTATGCAACTGGGTGTGGTTATGGATGTTCAGCTGACATACCCGAACAATGTATGCGAGACTTCCATGATGATATTGAATCGAATGTACGTCCACTCAGTTATACATCTATTCATATCGAAAAAGCAATCGTATGCTCATATATTTTATATCCAGTAGGTTTTTATCATTTAATTCATTCAGATTTCGCTCGAATAATGATTGCTTATGATCTTTTACTTGCTGATCCGAATATATTTATATTAATGAAACGTAATAAATATAAACATATTTATATTGATTTATTTGAAATATTCGGCATTTCCACAAAGCGAATATATTGGCTTGATGATCACATTCACTACACAGTGACTTATCTTATTTTGCCATCTGGATTTACTTGTCTAATTACGCCCTTGTCACTGTTGAATTTACTACATAGAAGAACACTCATGTTAATAAACAAAGATAACAGAAAAGAAATTCAGCCATTTCGTGATCAGTTATTTGAAGAAGACTATTCTAAAATTTATCCAATAATCAGTAGGCCAAACAATAGTGAGCAACACAGTCAAGAAATAAATCGTTTTAAAATTGTACGAGACGGACATGTAATTGTTATTGTTCGAGATAATGGCACTTATCGCAGTATCCAAAATCATGAAGATTTTATGATATCGTTGTATGGGCATTTAAAACGATATTCTATTGAAGTTGTTCAATTTTTTGCAAATATTTCATTGATAGATGCCATTAAACTGTTTCACACCAGTCGTGCTGTAATAGGCCCTCATGGAGCTGGTTTAACATTTCTAGCATTTATGCGCGCCGGAACAGCAGTTTTAGAAATATTACCAGATGATGACTCAAAAGCGTACATACCATGTTATTGGAACATTGCGATTGCCAGGCAAATCAAATATTTCAGTATGTTGGTACCAAATTCGAAATATTATGAAAAGCCGATGAAATTAAACATAACAATCGCAATGGAATTAGTTCACGAAATGATGAGAGAAAGATTAAATGATGTGTAAAACTGGAAATATCAACATACAACAAAACACAAATCAGTGTTAGCAGAAGTTAGCAGAAATTAGCAGAAGAAAAGGCAGATTATGTTTAGCAGGGTGGATACCAAGTCAAGTATTTACAACTCTGAAATAATTTGGGCGACAGTGTGAGAATGATATACACTTTTACTCGAAATTCTATAATGTTTCTATGAAAAGAAAATTCAAAGAATAAAGGAATTCCTATCAGAAATACGAATTTTTTTATAAAAATTATATTATTAATATTAAGCTAATCATACGTTCAGATAGTCTATAATGCCTACTATCAGAATTCATAGTGCTCTTTAATATCTGTTTTATTTAAACGTTTCTGAAAAATTTTTGGAAAATTATACTTTTTAAAATTCTCTTACTCAAACTAATCCTGATCGAATAAACTTATATCCAGGTCGCCTGTTTGTAAGGTGGACCGTAGTGGACAATTTTGACTAGGCACGTGAACATGTGTTTGAAAAGTGGTACAAAAGTCTCTAAGCACTCTTTTTATAGATTTTCTTATATGCTCTTTAAAACGGCGTGGTCTTCAAACTTTCAAAGTGAGGCTGTACTGGTTTTCCAGAGATCCGGTCTCTGGGAAACCACCTCGGACATACTTCAGAAGTTTGAAAATCATTCCTCTGGAAAGAGCACGTGTCACATAGAGGTCAACATTCTGTCAATAAATTGAACTTAAGGAAAATTTAGGAAACTCGCTTTACTGAAGAGAATGTTTCGGAAAACGCTTAGCGTAGATACAAAGTTGGATATTTCCGACAGGAAACACTTGAAATAAAAAAATTTTACGGATCAATAGAGCAAGAGCTCCTCTTTCCAAATATGCAAAATTTAGGTGCACGTTTTTTCTCTTCCTGTGCTACATGCTCCTTTTTCCAGAGATCGCTGAAAACTAGCGAATGTTTGAAGACAAGCTATCTCAACGACCTTAATGGGTAGAACAAAACTTCTTTTGCCATTACATCGAACGTTAGTCACAGTTTATATGACACCACTTAAATCTTGTAAAAACTCACTTTCGTTTTTTTCACCTAATGTCCGCGTGGTTGCCCACTGTATGGACATTTCTAGTTACAATTTGATGTTAAACAGTGTATCAAAAGTTATAGGACATTGAATGAAAGCCATGTGATGCTCACAATGCACTGACGCCAATTGTTCTCGATAGCCACTTTTTTGTTTAGGTGGTCTGAGACTTCCTAAAAGAATTCACCCAGATACTTGCTGAGCTGATTTCATATTAAAGTTAACATGTCTACAGGCTGACAGAGATCGATTTTCGAATTGCTTTCACGTTCTCTAGACTGCTGAAAAGGTTGATACGAATGCTTGACGTATGTTTTAAAAATCAAGAATGCAAAAGTTTAGAAATCGGGCTTTAAGTTTTAGCCTCAGTTTGAAACCTAAACTCTCTAGTACATATTTGGACGAAATGTTTTTGGGAAATGCGAATAATCCCATTCTGACTGGTGTTGGAGTGACATGATTGTCTAAGCCTCTAAAAAATATCGTCATCACCCCTTGATATGTTTAACATTCTCTGAACGTTTGGTTCTGTAACAGAAAACGTTGATGAGCAATGTAGTATACAATGCTAGATTTTCAATTGCTAGGCGGCAACTAACTTTACTAAAAGTTACTAAGTGTAGGTGCCGTCTGCGGTTCAGTTAACCCTGTACAACTATCTCTCTCTGATAAGTTACTTCATTAGTTGATTATGTACATTGATTGCATAAACTGTGTGACTAGTCGTAGTTTGAATTTCTGAGAAATTTCGAATGTCTTTTACTCATCCTTTCTTTTGTATTCGAGATTGAAAATTATTGATTAAGTAAGGAACGATTGATTATTTAGCCAGGATATTACTGCTCAATTAAATAATTATGAACGTTTAATGCCGTTTTTATTCATTATTGATGATTTCCTATTTTATATTCTCATATTTATGAATTGTTCAACGTTTTGGACAACATTACATTTTAGACCGAAATTAAAATAGTCAATTGAAGATCCTGATAAAAATTCCGGATTATTAATACATTTATTGTATGTTGTAATGAGCCAGTAGATATTTTAATCGATACTGTACGATCGACACTATGATCAAACTATTCAAATGTAATATCATATTTAGGTACTTGATGATGGAAAATCGGATGAAATCTTAGATATTTTGAACAATTATCTAATAAATATTTAAAGCCTCATATATACTACAGATGGTGTTTCAAAGCAGTTAATCAAACACATTATTTCAAAGCCGATAATTTAAACAACGGTCTCTTAGAACTAAATCAACTTAAAAGTAAGTTACCAGGTCAATACTTGCTTGTTCAAGATGTTAACATGATTCTACGTCCTGATTTTCCACTTTGAACATTACCACATTTTTATCACTATAGTAGATAGCGATTAAATGAAGCAACTGCTTATGCGATGATCAGTTGCTTATACACCTTGACGATATTATAATGAAACACCAAATATTCTATTAAATCAAGCACTAAGTGGCATAAATGGTGCTCTAATACATAGTGATTCAAAATACGCATTGACTTGTATAGGTAACAGTAACTGATCGCCAGATTTTTGAATATCACCATTAACTATCATATGCTTGCTGTAATACAAACAAAAAGAGATTCAGTATTCTATTGTAGGCTCTGGAATGTTTATCAAATCATCTGTTTAAAACAAAATAAACAGCTTTTCTGTTACTACCTAGCATAACAGAATATTTTAATTTTTCCTATTCAATACATCAGCTTGGTTAAAAATCTATATGTATCGGTGAAGATCTTCAATTTGATTTACACCAGAATCATTAACAGCTTCCATTGAACAATATAAGCGATGGTGTCCAGGAAATTATCAAGTAATTCGTTTAAATCGGTTTTCATTTATCCCTTTCCAGCCTGATGTTGCCATTTGGCAACACTTTTTGCTGTGTTTTCGAAACAGCCGACTAGAAAGGGGTTACTCATAGAAACATGCGTTAATTTTCAAATCTATGTTGATATTCGCCTCTGGTGTTGTTTACCATAAGTCTATTTAACCATAATTACGATTATTGCTTTATAGTGGAAATTGCCATTTCATATTCTTTTAAGGAAAGTTCAAATTTGTAAAATAACATAAACATTAGCATGGCTCCAGTATATTCTGCATCAATTAGTTTATATGCTTTGTTGTGCGGAACTGCAGATAGTCAAGATTCAACCGTCTTTGGTTGTCTCGTCAGAAATATTCTGAAATCTATTCCGTCCCGTCTTATACTAGTTTTTCGCTGTTATTTTTGATACCGTACTGTATGAAATAAATAAAGTTTATATCTGACAAGATAAAAAACTAGATGCCAACTGCTCTCCGCGAAGCTTGGAAGCCGACTGAGGGAAGCGCGAATGCAACCAGCTGGCTTCTCCCTATGGCAGTACAGTGGATATAACTCTTAGTAAACTGCTATATATGTTTTCTCCTTTAGCAACAAAGTATGTTTCGAATTTTATTCAGCTACATTTATCTTCTACAACATATTATTCACATTATCGTATCAGCTGATCATTATTCTATCATACATTCTGCTATACGGCCAGTCCAAGCGTGACGGAATAACGTTTTTTCATTTTGTTTTCTTAATATCTCGGCTATATTAAGTCCGGTGAGGCTGAAAATTTTACAAAATGTGTGAGACTAGGTGCTCTACAAATCCTAAA